CAAAAACAACAGCAGCAGGCTGGGCAAGGCGGCTCACGTCTGTCATCCCAGCACTTTAGGAGGCTGAGGCTGGCGGATCACTTGAAGACAGGAGTTCAAGACTAGCCTGGTCCACATGGCAAAATCCTGTCTCTACTAAAAATACAAAAAATTAGCCTGGTGATGCATGCTTGTCATTCCGGCTACTTGGGAGGCTGAGACCAGAGAATCTTTGAACCCAGGAGGCAGAGGTTGCAGTGAGCCGAGATCGCGCCTTTGCACCCCAGCCTGGGTGACAAGAGTTAAACTCCATCTCAAAACAAGCAAACAAACAAATAAAACAGCCTCAAGATAACAAAAGACAGCTTCGCAGGGCCATTTCGAATATGTCAAAGAAAATGCATTTTGCGGTAAAGGACTTTGATCTCCTGCAGGGCCTGAGGGAGGCTGCAGCCGGGTATCTAGTTGTTGCGGTCTGTTCCGTCATTCTGACAATCTCTGTTTTAATGTCGTTGCTGGTCAGCTGTGCCTAAACTCCAAAGGAGGAGGATGTAATAAGTCACGTGCAGCCCCGCTGCCCATCACGGCCTGGTAGCCTTTCGGGTTGTTTTGGGTTCCCTAGGCGGAGGAGAGAGTCCATTCAGTTGGCTGGGGGACTTAGAATTTTAATTTTGGTTTGTAATTTCTAATTTGATTCCATTTGGTCAAAGAACACACTCTGTTTTCAAATCTTTTAAACTTGTCGAGGCTTGCCTTCTGGGCTGGGGTACGGGCTATCTTGGTGACGGTTTTGTGAGCGCTGTGAAAGCGTGTGCCTCCGCTGCTGGGTGTCTGTTCCGTGTAAGCCAGCTGGTCCTGCGGGGGACAGTGTGGCTCAGACCCGCGTCCTTGCTGGCTTTGTGTTCTGTCCGTGCCTAGGATTCTGTCTGACTTACCAGGTTTCCTTTCACTGTGTCAGCTTCGGCCCCAGGTGTCTTGCAGCTCTGGGCGTCTGCTGTATACACATGTACGATCGTTACCCCTTCCTGGTGGGTTAAGCCTTTCATGACGTCACGTCTCTTTGAAGGAATTTTCTTTACTGTGGCGTCTACTTTGCTGGATAGACTGCTGCTTTCTTTCTCCTAACGTTTGCACGGTGTATGGTTTTCCATCCTTTTCCTATCAACCTTTTACCTTCAACCTGGGGTTTTTAATGTTTCTTTTTATTTAAAGTATGTTTGTAGGCCAGGTGTGGTGGCTCACACCTGTAATCCCAGTGCTTTGGGAGGCCGAGGCGGGTGGATCGCTTGGGCTTACGAGCTGGAGACCAGCCTGGGCAACATGGTGAAGCCCTGTCTCTGCAAAAAATACAACAATTAGCCGGGCGTGGTGGCACACACCTATAATCCCAGCTGCTTGGGAGGCTGAGGCAGGAGAATTGCTCAAACCTGGGAAGCAGAGGTTGCAGTGAGCCGAGATGGTGCCACTGTATTCCAGCCCAGGTGACAAAAATAAATAAATGAAAATAATAAATAAATAAATAAAAGTGTGTTAGTAGTTGCTTGCAGAAACTGTTTTTTTTTTTTTTTTTTGAGATGGAGTCTCACTCTTGTTGCCCAGGCTGGAGTGCAGTGGTGCGATCTTGGCTCACCTCAACCTCCGCCTCCCAGGTTAAAGCGATTCTCCGGCCTCAGCCTCCCAGGTAGCTGGGACTGTAGGCGTGCGGAAATGGTTTATGGTGGATGCTTTAAGATTCTTGTCAGACAAAATTTTGGCGTCTGATTTGTCAAAGGGAGAGTGGATCCCTTGGCTCTTATAGTTGGAGGGGCTCCCGCTGGTCTAGGAGAGAAACGAGGCCACCTGTGCTCCCTCGTCCTGTCAGGTTTGGGGTGGGAGACTCACCAGGCCTGGGCTGCCTTTCCCTTTCGGGTGGGAGGGGGACACTGGGTACCCTGTGTGGATCTAACCCTGAAGCCCCATACCAGTCTACCTTCCTCTTACCACCTTTCAGCCTTCCCCTTTTACTGCCCTTGGTGATATTTCAGGGCTTATTGAAGAGGGAGAGGGGAGCCTACACCCTGTTGCCCAGAGTGGGAGGCCAGCAGCCATGGCCTGTTAGTGAGCGCTCTACCTGCCATGCTCCTCAGAGTTCACGTCTGCTGCTTTCAGCTAACAAGGGTGATGGTGGTAGGAGGGACCCCGTAGGAAGTGTGGCTGTCACACATACTTCCCAGGGCTGGCCCTGATGTCTGGGGACCCCTGAGGCTTGGCTCAATAACACTCGTGATCATGGCATACAAGCAGTGTGCTGGGGTGGTGAGCAGTGCCAGTGCTTCCTGAACCATCGCTACGGCCAGACACTGCTCAGCATGCGTGACTGTGATGTCCCCACGTAATAAGACATACAGAGGTGGTCTTCGTCCTGGGCTCCTGACACAACAATGTCCAGGACCCTTGGAACCTCCAGAGGAGTGAGTGTGTTTTGCATGCTGATGAGATGACCGGGGGCTGAGGCCCTAGACAGCTTCAAGACAGGGGCTGGTGGCCAGAAAGACCAAGGCATGACTGGAGGGCTGGGACTTTCAGTTCCACCCTTGGACTTCTGGGGAGGGAGCTGAAGATTCAGCTAGTCACCAGTAGCCAGTGATTGAATCAATCGTGCCTTTATGTAATGGGACCACCATAAAAAAAATCCCTAAATGACAGCATTGAGGAAGCATTGTTGAATGGGCTCGTGTGCTGGGAGGCGTACCCTGACTCCACTCCTGTGAGCGGACCCTCCAGCCCTCGCTCCGTGCACCCTTCATGTGTGTTCTTCATCAGGTCCTTTGTTGTGTGTTTGTATCACTCTGTCACCCAGGCTGGAGTGCAGTGGTGCGACCTTGGCTCACTGCAACTTCCACCTCCTGGGTTCAAGCGATTCTCCTGCCTCAGCCTCCCGAGTAGCTGGGATTACAGGTATGCACCACCACGCCTCCTGGCTAATTCTAAAGTTTTAGTAGAGATGGGGTTTAGCCATGTTGACCAGGCTGGTTTTGAACTCCCAACCTCAGGTGATCCGCCCGCTCGGCCTTCCAGAGTGCTGGGATTTCAGGTGTGAGCCGCCGCGCCCGGCCTCAGGCCCTTTGGTGAGAGTAAGTAAAGTGTTTCCCGGAGTTCTGTGAACCACCCTAGCAAATGATCAAACCTTTAGCAAATGATGGAACCCCTGGTTTGTAGCCACACTGGACAGAAATCCGGGAAATGTGGGAACCCGCTACTTGTAATTGGCGGCTGAAGGGGGTGAGTCTGTGGGACTGAGCCCTTCACCTGGGGGGTGTGAGCTGGCCCTGGGCAGTTAGGTTCAGAACCAGGTAAATGGCTGGACAGCCAGCTGGCATCTGCAGAGAACTGGAGGACGGATTGCTTGGTGATGGAAACCCACCCACCGGGTGTCAGTGTCATGGGATTCAGACTCCGGTCGCCTTTGAGCCTCACCGGAGCGCCACAAAGTTGTTCCTTCTGCCATCTGCACTTTATAGAGAAGTGTGGGGATTCAGTCAGAATGGTGGCAAAAATGTTTAGGGGGAAATATTAGAGAAAGTTGTAGACTATAGTCTCAAACCTTCTGGAAGAGCTGAGGGTTTTTTCTATAGCTCTTGGCTGGAGGCAGCCTTGCCCCCTTAGTTAAATAAATTGGAGTTGAAGCAAAGGAATGTGGGGTTTACCTAACTCACTTGTTCACCGATGTGGCCTTAAAACCAACTCCTCTGCGGGGAGGTTGACCAGGGAGATGACCCTCCAGTGGTGTTTGCTTTAGGACCTGTCCTTGGGTCTCCTCACTCCAGTGGTGTTGACTCAAGCCTTTGTCAATTAAACGTGACTGAATAAATGTGAGTCAGCGATTTACAGCAATTTACAGCTGAATAAATGTGAGTCAGCGATTTACAGCACTCTCTAGGGAGTCTTTAACTGGCCATGGTCACTCAGTCAAATTGGCAAGGATAATATCTGTGTGTCAGTGTACTTTATCAGTCACTGTGTCAGGGTCTGCAGGACAGACCCCCGCAGGCAGTGACCCCAACAGAGAAGAAATGGATGCGGGGAGTGGAGATACGAGCTCTGGCCTCCTGGTGAGAGAATGAGAACCGGGCTGGGCAGGCTGAGCATAGCCCTGACCTCGAATCCAGCACCGGCTGTGATGACTGCCAAGGAATAAGCATGGAATACGCAGTGTGGATACCGCCTCAGCCGTGGGGAAAGGAGCACCTTTCCTGCCCGCCCTCCCTGTACGTTACCCTCTGGCCGATTCTGTCATCATCTCCCGCCCCACATCCTTCCTCTCTGTGGCCGAGACGTGGTGATTTCCCTTTGGAGGGAGTTTGGTTTCAGGGGTAGAGCTGGGGCTTGGGTCACAATGTCTGTCCCCGTCCAGCTCCGCCTGTGAGCCGGGTGGGTAGACTTGGGGCTGTGATGGGACTGCTTGCATGTCCCCGCCTCCTGAGGGGACAGAGAGCAGATGACCGACCCCGGGACTCTGGGGAAGATGGGAAGAAAGTCAGCATATTAAATGCGCCAGGGTTGAAAAGTCAAAATGCCCGAGTGTTTGCCCGCTCTGCTTTTCCGTTGGGAGGACCAGCTACTCTGGGTCTGCCCCGGGCGCAGGTTCTGAGCCCCGCTCTCAGTCCATGGAGCAGCCAGCATCCCCTCCCCTGAACTCCTCTCCCTGCCACGGAGGTCCTTGAGAATTTGCTTTTTCAAGAAATTTAAATGGAAAATTATGATCTTGAGGAAGAACTGATCTATGTGCAGATAGAGTTTCCATCACCCACTGTGCTAGAGGGGGACAGACGGTGAGCACAGGCTGAGCACAGAGCCCCTCACCCAGGGCACAGGGGCTTCCCCCAACCCCCCCTGCTCAGCTCAGACCACCACTCCCAGCCCAGCCCCACAGCCCATTCTCTGCTCCATCCCCACATGCCAGCCAGCACAGAGTCAAGGGAAGGGGCTCACTGACTTTTTTATTGCTCAAAGATGGAGAGCTCAGAACAGGAGATCCCAGGCTGAGGCCCAGGAGGTCCCAGGGTCCCACAAAACCTTGGTGCCTTGGTCTTCAGCCTCCATGTCCCTCCCAGAAAGGTGATGTCCCCTCTCTCTGCACTGGGCCGAGGCTCTGGGACCTGATGTGCACAAAGGGGGCTCCCTTGTGACTCTGGAACCCTGCAGGGCACAGGGCATACCCTCCTGGGCTGGGGTTGGGGATCCCTGCTTGTGTAAGTGGGAGCCCTCATCTCACCCCCAGCCTCAGGATGGAGGGGCTTATCACTCCAGGCCTGCCCTCCCCTGAACCCCCTCCATCACTCACCCCACCCTGGAGGAAAGGGGTCCAGCCTGTGCCCAGGACACAGGAAATGGCATCTGGAGAGGCCAAGCCTAGAGACTCGGGCACGTGGCCAGCTGGGCTTTTCCAGAGACCCCAGGATTCCAGCCTCGCTCAGGGTCAGCCCTGGGGAATGGACACAGTGGGATCTGTCCCAGGATGGGCCCCAGGCCGTGTGTGAGGCTGGTACATTACCCAGGAGGCAGGACTGGGCAGGAGCTCTCCTAGATGCGGCACCGCTCTGCGGGAGGAGAGACGGCAGTGGGGGCGTCAGTGGGAGGGAGACTTAGCTGGGGACACAGCAGCCCCAGGGCCAGAGGTTGTGGGGTGACAGGAGGAGATGGGAGCCCACCTCAGGGTGCCTCTGCACCCCCAGGGGAGGCATGGGGAGAATTGGAGAGGGGCCATTGAGGAGGGAGGGGTGCCGCCCTGAGTGCTATAGAGCCCTCGGGGGGGCTTGGGCTGGGACAGCGGTGGCCTCTCCTCCAGCCAAGGCTGGGCCTGTCCTGGGCGGAGCTCACCTTCTGCCTGGGTCACGTCTGGGAAGATCCGCATGTGCACGGGCAGGGTCTTGAGAAAGTGGATGAATTCCTCCATGACCTTGTCGTCTGCCCCCAGGGTCCTGGCTGTGGGGGAGGCTGGCTCAGTCTTGTGTCCCTGGGGCTTGGATGACAGCTGGGGAGCTCCAGAGGCTGTGCTGGGGAGGGAGGGCAGGGAAGGAGGCCCCAGTGCTCCCAGGTCAGGAGTTTGGTCTGGAGCAGGTCCCCAGGGCGGTCTCCGGGCTCCCCAGCTCCCACTCCTCTGCCCCGTCCCCTCTGCTCCGCTCTGGGCAGTGCTGGGGCCCGTAAAACTCCTGATGGTGTCTACAGGGTCACGGGAGCACAGTGCCCACCTCCCCAGTGCCCGGCTCTCACCAAACACGGCTGAGGCTGATCAGGAAGACACCTGTGTGACCCCAGAGGGAACGCTGCGCTCAGAAACACTGGGAAGGGCTGTGACCATGTGGCTTTTTTCTTTCCAGAAAAGTGCCTGCCTCCCCTAAAGTCCCACTGATGTGTCCCACAATCCAGGAGGGTGGATTTATAGAACAGGAGGTTTCTCTGCAGCCCCAACACCCTGGGACCCTTAAGAACAAAGGGGACAGCTTTGCTGGGATTAGAACATCACCTTTTAAAGCCAAGTTCACATTTGAGATCCTATTTCAAATCTCCATTAACGAATCTTGATGGATTCATAGTGGCCAGTTCCATCCACTTGTAAGATGTGGCCGCTCCCCTTTCTGCAAAACCCGTTAATGACATCGGCCCCTTTTGGCCTGTCCTGAATTCGACACTTGTCCCTGGCCCCTCCCCATTTAAATCCCCCCACTGGAACATCTTTCCTGGAAGCTTCTGGTTTCTGACACTGATACCAGGCAACTTCCAGCTTATGGGGCCTGGGGAGGTGGGAAGGGTGGCCCCTCTCTCCTCCCGCTGAGAGCTGGACCAGGTCCAGGGTTATTCAGATGAAGCCCAGGGGGCCCTGGGTTGTACCAGGTTCTGGCACATGGTGCTGTGCTCTGCGCCAGGCATGGCGGTCTCCATGCAGAACAGGTAGCTTCTGTTGTCTGTGTCCAACAAGAAAAACTTTCTTGTCCCACAATCTGGAACAAAAACACAGACCAGAAATTTCATCTGAGTCCCTCCCTGCGGCCTCGGTTCCTGGGTGCTGGGCTGAGAGCAGCGATTCCCGTGACGACGGCGTAGCTTCTCCCTGTACTTGGGCAGCCGTGTTCCCTTCTTCCTGGACCTCTTCTTCATGCTCCGTCTCCACCTCTGGGATGGCTGCTGGCAGCTCACCACTGCAGCATGACAGAGTCTATGGATGGAGGGTCGGGCTGGGTGGCAGCGCCTTGGCACAGACCGGCCCCTTCTGCGCCCACTCGTGCAAGGGGGCACAAGTAGTTCTTCCAGACTTCGGCACTGACGAAGCTGTTCTCCAGAGTTACCGTCCCCCTTGGTCAAATTCTACTCCTCCCTGTCCCGGAGGTGGCATTCATTCATTCATTCATTCATGGTGCCTCCCTTCCGGGACAGGTGCCCAGCAGGCCTGGGAGGGCTCACGAGCTGGAGCTCTGTTTCAGGCCAGGGGGTTGGAGCTGTGCCAGACATTGAAGAGTGGAGGAAAGAAAGAATGAACCGTGTCTGCTCCTGCCCTGTGGAGCCTCCCACCCGCTTCTCAGATGGATGTGAGCCTGAGCGTGGGTCCTGCTCGCAGGTGAGGAGCCGCAGTGTGGGGAGTATGTGGTTGCCCCGGTTGTTCAGGCAGGGACAGCTCTGGAGATGAGACTGGACCATGCTGCACCCGCTGGAGCGGGGCCTGGGTGTGTTCCAGCCCTGGCCAAGGTGTCGGGAGGCCGCCAGGGCTGCGGGCGATGCTGGTGAGGGCAGGGCTTTGGGGTAGTAGAAAGAGACTCTGGGGACTGCTGGGCTGGGGAGAGGTTGGTGAGGCCCAGAATGTTCCAGAAGCAGGTGCCAGATTTGAGAGGCCAATTCACTGTGTGTCTGTGTCCGTAGGTCTAGTTAATTGGGCTATTTTTAAGGATCTAAGGGCCACGGGTTGCAGGTTTCTGAGCAGGGAGGTTGCCACCCACCTGCCCAAGGTGACAGCAAACTCTCCCAACCCAGAGTTGTGGTTGTGAGCCTGGATTCAGGTCTCGATGAGTTAGAGGTCAATAAGATACACCAAGCCCGTCACAGCCTCAACCCCCAGGCTCAGCTGCCAGGAGCCTCAGGACAGGACCAGGCTCAGAGCAGGGCCCAGCCGCAGGGGAGGGAACCTGCTGGCTCCTGGCTCCGCGGAGAGGCTGCAGGGGATGGCGAGGGACCGGCCCGGGGCTGGGGCACTTACAGTCTGCCCTGAACACAGCTGGGTCCTCAGTCTTCTGGGCGAGGATGGCCCTCTCAGCGCATTTGTGGTGTTCCCTGAGAAGCTGCACAGCGGTGGGGGTGTTTGTGAACCCAGTGCGGGGCCAGAGGCTGCACTCCGGGAAGGGACCCAGGGACACAGCTCGCCCAGCCCAGCCAGGTTGCTGGGCATCAGCCTGAATGAGGCCTCCAAGGCGGGGCACACAGCCAGGTGGACAGAGAGGCAGCCAGCCAGCCAGGACCTGGCGGGACAGTTGGCCAGTTGCCAGGGCACGAGGCGGCTCAGAGCTGACCCTGACTGTGTGGTGCTTTGACACAGTGTTTACGAGGATCTCGGCCTCATCACGGCCACCCCTAGTTCCTCAGCCACCTGCCCCTGACTCCAGGGGGCCAGGCAGGGTCATGGCAGGAACTGCCCAGGTCCCAGAAGGGTTGTGGCCCAGCCCAGCCTTCTTGGAAGATGGACCCGTGGCTGTGCTGTGTTTTCAGCCGGTTGGCCCAGAGCCCTTGGGCAGGGCCTCCATGGAGACTGAGAACCTCCCGAGCCCCGTTCCCCACCCCACCCCCATGGGCACCATGTAGGGCCCACAGGGAAGCCCCAGAAATGTCAGGAAATGCCTGGGGCTGAGCCCGCCCGGCTCCCCCAACCCCATCCAGTCCTGCACCCCTGACAGGGGAGACTGAGACCCCACCAGCCCCTGCCCTGATGACCGGGAGCCCAACATCTCCAGGTTGCCTTTGGGGTGGGCCACAGCGAGGTGATGTGGATCCTCAGAGGGGCCTCCTTGGTGTCTAGGACGGGGGAGTCGCCGGGCGTCATGGCCATGGAGAGCCAGACACCTGCCAGTGGAGGGGCCTTCCACTGCAAGGGGTCCCCGCCCTACTGTGGTTCTCATAACCCCCACCCCCACCCTGCTGTGTAGGCCCTGTCCCTTGTATGCCCAGGCTTCCCAGGTGGCGTGTGGAAGGCAGTGAGCCAGGATTCAGGGAGTGTTTGGGAACCGCCTGCCACGTGCCAGTCCCTGGCTGGAGGCTCCTGCGTATCTGGAACAAGAGTGCCGTCCTCTCTGCCTAATCCAGGGTGGCCCCACCTGAGCTCCCACCAGGGGCACCACACTGTCCTTATAGGCCGCTGCATCAGGGAGTCCAGGTAGTCAGAGGGGAACAAGTGCCTCCCCATCTGGGGGCACAAGGCAGCCCCTCACACTGTGGCCTAATTTTAGGTTTCTGAGATCTGGGGCTTCCCACCCGCCTGCAGCTCCCACCTGCCCCAGGCCTCCCACAATAACGTGCCCCCTTTGCCCGCCTCAAACCTTTGGGACCTCCAGGTCCTGCTCGGTCTGAGGGATGTCACTGGCCTGGATGCTACAGACCAGGGCCATGCCCAGGGTGAGCAGGAGGCACTGCATGGCTGCGGCTGTGGGTGGCTCTGAGCTCTGGAGTGAGAGGGAGGCTGAGGCAGTGTGGGCTCGGGGGCCTTATGTAGGAGGAGGTCAGACGAGAGTCCCACCCACAGCCTCACCATGGCATTCCTCAAACCCATGACTCATCCTCACCCCATGGACAGCTTCCTGCACTGGGACAATGGGAGGCTCTTCCCTGTGTCCACCAAGGAACCTCCTCTGTGTCTAGCTGGGCAGTTCCTGGCAGGGCTTCAGGTGGGAGGGGCCTGGATCAGGTCTAGGCTGGCAGGCAGTGGTGGGAGCACCTCCTGGATCGGGGCTCCTGGACAATGTCGGGTCAGAGGCCAGCAGTGAGGACAGCTGTGCCCAGGGCAGGGGTATGGCCTATGGGGCAGGCAGAGGGCCCGAGAGCCCCCAGGTATCCCTGGGACCCAGCAGATGCTGCACCAGTGTGGGGCTGTCTGCTCTGGGGAAAGAAGGCATCACTGCAGCCCTGACCACTGCCACTGCTGTCCCCTCGTCTCACTCCCTGGGGACACTGCTGTCACCACGTGTCACTCCTGGGGGTACCACTGTCACCATGTGTCATTCCTGGGGGCATCCCATCCCACTTGTCACTCCTGAGGGCACCTCTATCCCGCGTGTCACTCCTGAGGGCACCGCTGTCCCGCGTGTCACTCCTGGGGGCACCCCTGTCCCATGTGTCACTCCCATATCAAGTGCCTGGTATGGGAGCCAATGAGGGAGGACAAGCTGGGACCCAGCCCCACTGCCTGTGTCTTCCTGGCAGATGGGGCCTCCCGGGGCCGGGCTCCTCTCTTTGGGAGAGGGAAGGGTCTGGCTTTAGGACGTGCTGGAGCCAGTCTGAGCAGATCACTCCTACCTCCCCGCTGCGAGGCAACAAGCAGAGACAACAGAGGGAAAGCTAGCAAGGTTTATAAATTTATGTGGGCGGTGACACGTGCCCCCGGGTAGGCTGGGATCTGGGCAGATGCATGGGCCAAGGTCCCTGGACACAGGTGGAATGTGGTGAAAGCCTGGGGAGGATGAGGGGCAGAACTGAGGACTCCGCAGCTGGGCGCAGGTCTCTACCAGCAGCCAGACGCAGAGGCTCCCTCTCAGGAGCCAGGAGCCTGGTGCCGGCAGGGGAGGTGGCTCCCTGAGGGCCGAGAGCCAGCCGTGGCTTGGGTGGCTTTCAAGACCTTGAATGCAGCCCGCTGTGGCCATACCTCTTCCCCCCAGCTCTGCGCAGCTCAGGGAGGTCCTGGCACTGACCGGCCTCGGGGCAACCGTGCAGATGCCAGGGAGCAGCAGAGGCTGCAGAGACGGAGGCCTGGGTGGTGTGGACGGGGCTGGGAGGGCAGGGTGCAGCCGCTCCAGAAACCAGGAAAGCCAAGGAAGCTGCTTCTCCCCTTCCCAGAAGTCTCCAGAAGGAAGAAGAGTGGCCAGAGACCTCCTTTCCCTCAGCCTGGGGCCTGGATGGCAGTGAGAACCTGAGAAACCCCCTCAGTTCATAAACATGCTCAGGGGCCTGTTAAGCTCACACCCCAACAGCAAATGATGAGGAACTTTTAGACAACTCTGGTCTACCAAAAACTAGATCTGTTATAGTGGCAGAGGCCGAGCCATCTCCTTTTCACAGAGCTTCCTGTCCTGTACCCAGCACAGGGCCTGCCAGCATCCTTCCACTCAGGGAGATGCTATAGTCACTGGAGCACCGGGAGGGAGGCCAAGCCTTTCCCAACTCCCCCAGTGTTTGAGCAGACACCATTGCTGCATGACACAGATTTCTGAGGATGTGGAATTAACTGGGAAACAGCTGAGGGTGGAAGAAGGAACAAGAGGGAAATAGGCCGGGCACTGTGGCTCACACCTGAATCCCAGCACTTTGGGAGGCTGAGGTGGGAGGATCATATGAGCCCAGGAGTTCAAGACCAGCCCAGGCAACAAAGTGAGACTCCTGTCTCTAAAGAAAAATACAAAAATTAGCTGGGCATGGCGTGATATGCCTGTAGTCCTGTAGTCCCATAATCCCGGCTACATGGGAGGCTAAGGCAGGAGGACTGCTTGAGCCCAGGAGTTTGAGGCTGCAATGGGCCATGTTTGAGCCATGGGTGACAGAGTGAGACCCCCTTTCAGAGAGAGAGAGAGAGAAAAGGAGAAAGAGAAAGAAAGAAATAGGCCAGGCGTGGTGGCTCATGCCTGTAATCCCAGCACTTTGGGCGGCTGAAGTGGGTGGATCACAAGGTCAGGAGTTGAAGACCAGCCTGGCCAATATGGCAAAATCTTGTCTCTACTAAAAATACTAAAATTAGCTGGGCGTGGTCAAGCATGCCTATAATCCCAGCTACTTGGGAGGCTGAGGCAGGAGAATTGCTTGAACCTGGGTGGTGGATGTTGCAGTGAACCAAGATCACGCCACTGCACTCCAGCCTGGGCAACAGAGCGAGACTCCGTCTCAAAAAAAAAAAAAAAGAGAGAGAGAGAGAGAGAGAGAGAGAAATAGAGGGAAAATAGCAGTGAAAGAGGGTGTGAGGTTTTGTCGCAAAGCAAACTAGACAGAGATATTCAGGGGACATCCTGGTCCCATGATAGCCTCGCCTCCATCAGCAGAAGGGGAGCCAGGCCAGGGGCCAGGGCAGGCGCCCTCAGCCTTTCTGTTAGGGGATGAGGCAGGAAGATAGCCGGGGGCCAGAGGGGACTGAGCTCAGGTGCCGACCGGCCAAGAGTCGGCAACATGCGGTCGCCCTGGCTGAGTCGGGCTCATCTGATGACCATGGCCATGGCTGTTGGGCGTGACCAGCCCACAGGTGACCAGCATGGCCTCCTTCCCCTGCTGGTCCTGGTGCCTCTGTGTAGGGGGCGCAGGGCAACATATTCAAGCTTATGTCCAAGGCATTGGAGGCCGGGTGTGGACAATGCTGAGGCACTGTGCATGCTGTTTGTGCATGAGAATGAAACTCCTTGACCCTGAAAACAGGACGGGGAGTGGGGTGTGTGGTGTGATGAGGGGCGCTGAAACAGCCTCCTTAGAATGCAGCTTGAGGGTGTATGAGGCCACGGGGCCTCCGCAGCCCACCGCAGATGACCATCCAGCGGATGCCTGTAGCTAATACAAGCCCTTTCGATGAATACTTGGCGGACGGGTGCTGGGGCGGACTCTCTCGGAAGAGCTACCCCAGCCCTGCTCAGCTGGAACTGCCTGAGGACCTCGTTCTCTGTGTTCACTGCAAGCTGTAAGCACTGCACCTCTGAGTATTAGTCTATATAACCAAGGAAGTTATCTGTATTGTACCCTGAATTTTTCTGTTCTCATATCCCAATGGGAAATTTATCTGTTTAAGATTAATCCCCTCATGGGAAAAAAACCACAAATTATATGTGGAATAAACTGTTTTTGTACAGGATGGCTGGGTGTGGTGACTCACACCTGTGATGCCGGCTCTTTGGGAGGCTGTATCTCCCCAAAGCAAGCAGCAGTCAGTCCCGCCCTGGGCACGCAGGCCTTGGGCCTGGTCGCTCGTGTCTGTTCTCATAGCGCAGGCTCCCGCCTCCCCTGGGTCTCAGGTTCAGCAACCTCGGTGTCTCTGCTGCACAGGTGGGGATGTCCCAGGCCCAGAAGCCACGGATGAGCCTTGGGTTGAAGGAGTGAGTCCCTGAGAGCTGGGGAGGGGACAGAGGCTGTGCAGGAGGTGGGAGTGCAGGTGAGGCAGTGGGGAGGGATCCTCAGGCCCAGGTGGAGGAGAGTGTGGCTGGGCCCAAGAGGCTCCCAGAGAAGAGGGGAGGCTGTGTGGAGTGGGAATCCTGGACCCAGCTGTGGGGGTCCAGGTGCCGGGGGCCTGGTCCACCAGCTTGAGCACTAGGAGCTCCTGTGACCAGGCCACGCCAGCCCAAGCAGAGGCATGAGAGTCCCCAGAAGTCAAGGCCATGACCACCCCTGGGAGATGAGGTCGAGACAGCGGGACATTTCCCACCCTTAAGTCTTTTCTCCAACAATTCCATGAATTTGTAAATGTCACTTAATCTTCACAAGAATGCATGGGATTTTGTTTTTATTTTTTTATTTTTATTGAGATGGAGTCTCCCTTTGTCACTCAGACTGGAGTGTAGTGTTTCAATCTCAGTTCACTGCAGCCTCCACCTCCCGGGTTCCAGTGATTCTCCTGCCTCAACCTCCCAGGTGGCTGGGATTACAGGCATGTGCCATTATGCCCTGACAACTTTTGTATTTTTAGTAGAGGTGGGGTTTCACCATGTTGGCCAGGCTGTTCTCGAACTTCTGACCTCAGGTGATCTACCTGCCTCGGGCTCTCAAAGTGCTAGGATCACAGGCATGAGCCACTGCGCCCAGCCAAGAATGTGGATTTGATAGGACCCCTGATGTGTTGCCCTTGCAAAACGAAGACTCAGAAAAGGGGAATTCCCCTCAGCTCGTGCCAAACCTGAGCTCCCCAGGGGGAGAAGTTGTCTCTGGGAGATGAAGGCACTCAGCAAAACCTACCCAAAACCCTGGCCCTGGGAGAACTGGGAGAGCTGGGAGAGCTGGGATGGGATCTCGACCTCACCAAGATGCCTGTAGGCCTCTGAGCAGTCACCCTGCAGTGGGCAAGGAGACACCAGCTCTGCCTGCAGGAGTGAGTTTTCCCGGGCACTGCTTGGCACCCCCTTCTCTACCCAGGGGGCACCACTGAAGGCACCCATGGCATGCCCTGGGGCTTGGGTCACTGCTGTGAGATGGGTGCCAGGCTGTGCATCCAGTCCAGGGTCTGGAGACCGTGGATCTCGTGTGTGTTCACCTCACCCTCCCGAGGCTCTCACCTTCTTGGCTGGCGAAGGGGCCACCTGGGTCCCCTGGGCCCACAGCGCGGAGAGTGGGCTCAGCTCCACGGTCAGCTGCATCGTGGCTGTGGCCCCGGGTCAGCCCGGGCTTATGCTGGCAGGCTGGCCATGGCGACTCTGGCCCTCTGGCTGCCCGTTTATTCCCCGACTCTGGGCTGACCGGGAAACGGGTGAGTTTCCGGCTCACCCGCTTTTCACAATGGCCATGGACCGTCGCAGTGGAGGTGGGGCTGTGCCGGAAAACTATGAGCAATCCATAAAGCATCCAGTTTGTCCATCTTGGACGCTGTTTTCCTAAAGCTTCACCTCAAGGGAGAATGTCACCGAAGCAGGAGGAGTGAAAGTGTCCTTAGAACAGTAGCAAATACATGCTCTGCTGGCTCCTCAGCCCCTTGTGTCCGGCTGTGCTGCAGGCTGGCACTCTATCCCCACCACTGGCACGTGGCTTCACGAGGATGGGAGCAATGACAGCTTCCCCACGGCACTCAGGCCCTGCTGAACCACGAGCACTGCTCATCACAGCCACATCGGCCCTGAACCCACACAGCAGAGGCCATGTCCGGTTGTCCCTTCCTGATCGGCCTCTCAGCCACAGGCCCTGAGGCCCCATCTGTGCTTCCCACGGAAGGCTTTTCTTGGATCTGCTTTCCTCCTTTCCCTTCCTCCCCCCATTCTGACTATCTCCTTTCCCGCCCTCCATCTCTCTCCATGCCAAAATGGCTCTGCTTTTGTTCCTCCTCTGGAGGATCTCAGCCTCTCCTGGTGTCTTGGGTGCCCTTTTTTGATCTCCAAAGCTTCATCCTGGACGTGTGTCTCCTGAACTCTTGGTTCTTGTATCCAGCTCCCAAATGGACACCTTCCTCCTGATGCCCCACAACTCTGACCCTCAGGATGCCTCTGAACAAGCCTACACCTCTACAAATAGCCCTTGGTATCATCAGTATTTCCATCTTCCTCCAATTGGCCTCTCCATTTTGCCTGTAAGTTACAACTTATCTTTCAGACCTAGCTCCTCCTGCCCAGTCTCCCTGCCATTTCTCTATTCCCCAACTTCATTGGTGTGTTAAAAACAGGGACACTGGGAGACGAGATCCAAGATGGCCGACCACTAACAGCTCAGGATTGTAGCTCCCAGTGAAAGCTCAGAGAACGAGACGACGCCACATCATTAGACGAATTTTCGTCACTCACCGATTAGCCGATTCCCAGTGGAGGAGCCCCACGGGTCGCCAGCACGACTCTTGTGGCTGCCGCAGCGGTTTTGCCGGCGTCTCGGCGCAGCAGCTCTTCACGCAGAGCCAACGGGACTGCTTCCCCTACTGACCGGAGTTTGGAGCTCCAGGAAGTCAGAGCCGCTTGTTGCGGACTCAAGAGGGAAGCCAGACCAGAGATTCCCGGGCAGAAGAGCACCATCAGTCTTATCGCTGCTATTTAGGCTGCCACAGTGGGTTGCTCGGATCCCAGCACTGGGAATCAATAAGTCGGACGTCGACTCAGAAAACTAATTAGAAAGGCGGTTCATTTACAATGAAGGGAAAAAAACAGCCTAAGAAGGCCGAGTATACTCAAAATCAGAACCCATCAGCAACCGAACAAGCCCTGATGGAAAAGGACTCATCAGCAACCGAACAAGCCCTGATGGAAGAGGACTCATCAGTAACGGAACAAGCCCTGATGGAAAAGGACTGTGTTCCATTATCTGAAGTAGGCTTTAAAAGGTGGATGATAAGAAACTTCTGGGAGTTAAAGGAACTTGTTCTAACCCAATGTAAAGAAACTAAGAACTTGGAAAAAAGATTAGATGAAATGTTGAAAAGAATAGACAATATAGAGAGGAATACAAATGAACTTATGGAGTTGAAAAATACAACACGAGAACTCAGTGAAATATGTACAAGCTTAAACAGCCGAATGGATCAAGCAGAAGAAAGGGTATCAGAGGTAGAAGACCAACTTAATGAAACAAAACGACAAGACAAGAATAGAGAAAAAAGGATAAAAAGGAATGAGCAAAGTCTCCAAGCAATATGGGACTATGTGAAAAGACCTAATATACGCTTGATTGGTGTACCTGAATGTGACGGAGAGAATGAAGTCAAGCTGGAAAATACTCTCCAGGACATTATCCAGGAAAATTTTCCTAATTTAGCAAAGCAGGACACTATTCAACCCCAGGCAATACAGAGAACACCACAAAGATATTCCTCAAGAAGACCAACCCCAAGGCACATAATCATTAGATTCACCAAGATCGAAATGAAGGAGAAAATATTAAGGGCAGCCAGAGAGAAAGATCAAGTCACCCATAAAGGTAAGCCTATTAGGCTTACAGCAGATCTCTCAACGGAAACCCTACAAGCTAGAAGAGAGTGGGGGCCAATATTCAATATACTTAATCAACAGAACTTTCAGCCCAGAATTTCATATCCTGCCAATTTAAGCTTTACATTTGAAGGAAAAATAAAATCTTTTAGGAACAAGCAAGTACTCAGAGATTTTATTACCACTAGGCCTGCTTTACAAGAACTTCTAAACGAAGCATTATACACAGAAAGGAATAACCAGTATGACCCTTTCTAAAAATACATCAAAAAGTAAAGAGCATTAACATAAAGAAGAATTTTTATCAACGAAAGGACAAAATAACCAGTTAACAACAAATGGCAGCAACCCTAAATTTAAATCGACCAAATCTCCCAATCAAAAGATACAGACAAAATCTAACGGTATATCCAAAGATATACATAGACTGAAAATAAAGGGTTGGAAAAAAAAAAAACAAAAACGTACCAACCAAATGGAGAGCAAAAATAAATAAATAAGAAGCAGGAGTTGCAATTTTCACATTTGACAAAATAGATTTCAAAGCTACAAGGATACAAGGGTAAGAGGATTAATGTAATAATAAGAGATCTTAACACCCAGATACATAAGACCCATAATGAGATTTAGATTCAATGAGACAACAAATTGATAACGATACCCGGGACTGGAACTAAGATCCAGAACAAATAAACTCAATAGAGCTCTCCATGTTAAACACACAAAATATATATTATCCACAAAATCTAACGATATATCTGAAGATATACAAAGACTCAAAACAAGGGGATGGAAAAAAACTCACCAACCAAATGGAGAGCAAAAATAAATAAATAAAAAGCAGGAGTTGTAATTCTCACACTTAATAAAATAAATTTCAAAGCTACAAGGATGCAAGGGTAAAAGGATTAATGTAATAATAAGAGATCTTAACACCCAGATACATAAGACACATAATGAGATTTAGATTCAACGCGACAACAAATTGATAACGATATCCAGGACTTGAACTCAGAGCCAGAACAAATAAACACAATAGAGGTCCCCATTTTAAACACATAAAATATGCATTAACCACTTTAAACACTCAAAATATTGATCGGCCATTATTGAAACCCATTTTCTTTTTTTCCCCTTCTTTTTCTCTTTTTCCCTAAAAAAAAAAAAAAAAAAAAAAAAAAAAAAAAAAAAAACAGGGACATTGCTTGATGTGCCTCCTAGATGGCTCCCCTTCAGCCCCATCTGTTGAACTCTGTTTTGCTGATAATGGATACACAGTGGATGGATGGATGGATGAATGGGTAAATGGATGGATAATTGGATGGAATTAATAAATGGATAAATGATCGATGGGTAGATGGATGAATGATTGGATAAAATAAATGAATGGATGGATGGATGGATGAAGGGATGATGGATGGATGGGTGGATAGATGGATGGGTGGATGGATGGGCAGATGAATGGATGGGTAGACATATAATTAGATGGAATAAGTGAATGAGTGGATGGATAGATGGATGGGTGGATGTATAGATGATGTGTGGAATTGAGGCAGGAAAATGGAAGTTGAATAAAGGTCAGAATGAGTAAAAGTAGAGAGCAGAAACAAGGCAAAGGGGTGGGTGAGCAAGAAGCAAGACAGGAGACAGGAGCTGAGGAGCCAAAGTGAAAGTAAGATGAAAGGTGAAGAAGAGACTCCATGGCCAGCAAGATCTGAACCAAATCAGTAAGGGGGACCACCTCAAAGATAGGCATGCACAGTAGAGAGAAAAGGTGTCATTATCGTGACCCCATATGATAGTCAGCTCAGTGAAGCTCATGCATATGGACTGCATATCATTCATGTACTTAAAATCATGGGATAGAGGCAATGAGTGACTGCACAGGGCCAAAGTAACTAAGCGACCAACCTATTAATCAAAAGACAGGCATTGGCTGAAGATCAGGCAGCCTTGGGAAGAAAAGAAAAGGAAACACATTAAAAGACTCAAAGTATGCCAAACGAATGCTGATCTTATCTTGCGGAGGACACCCACTCTCCCCTCTGTCAGAGTGCTACTGTGCTTAATACATTTTTGCTGCTTGCTTTGCTATTTGTGTGTGCCAGGTCAAATTCTTTGTTCAGAACACCAAGAGCCTGGAACTGCACAGCACCATCCGGTAACAGAATGAACAGGTGGATGAATGGATGATTGGATGGAATGGATGGGTAGATGAATAGATGGATGGATGGATGGGCAGATGGATAGATGGTGGATGGATGGTGGATGGGTAGTGGATAGGTGGTGGGTGGATGGATGAATAGTTAGATGATTGGGTGGATGGATGGACAGACGGATGGATGGTGGTTGGGGTAGACAGATGGTAGATGGATGGATGGATGTGTAGATGGATGGGTGAATACTTGGATATAATGGATGTTATAGACTGATGTATGGATAAATGGATGGGTGGAGGGATGGACGAATGGTGGATGGTTTCATTAGCTCATATGGAATATAGGTCATTTGTCTTCTCACTTTCATGACTTCTCCAGGTTGCCAAGGTATTTTCGTGTTCAGTGTCACTTTTGACTCCTCCAATGGCTTCCATTCCTTCCAATTATCCATCCATCCACCACCCAGCCATCCATCCACCCATCCATCCATCACCCATCCATCCATCCACCCATTCATCCATCCATCTACCCAGGCACCATCCATCCACCACCCATCCATCCATCCATCTACCCAGGCACCATTCATCTACCACCCATCCATCCATCCCCCCATCCACCTATCCATCCATCCACTCATCCATCCATCCACCCATCCATTCATCCATCTACCCAGGCACCATCTATCCACCACCCATCCATCCATCCCCCATCCACCTATCCATTCATCCACCCATCCATCCATCACCCATTCATCCATCCATCCACCCATCCACACATCCATCCATCACCCATCCATCCATCTACCCAGGCACCATCCATCCACCACCCGTCCATCCATCCACCCATCCATTCACCACCCATCCATCCATTTGTCCATCCACCACCCATCCATCCCTCCATCCATCCACCCATCCATCCACCACCCACCCATCCATTCATCCATCCACCACCCATCCATTCACCACCCATCCATCCCTCCATCCATCCACCCATCCACCCATCCACCCATCTACTACCCATCCATTCACCACCCATCCATCCATCCATCCATCCATCCATCATTCCTTCTCTCAAACACCATTTTTTGGTGCCATGTGACCTGTTTTTGTAGAGACAGGTTTTGACCATATTGGCCAGGCTGGTCTCAAACTCTTGGCCTTAGGTGATCCACCTGCCTTGGCCTCCCAGAGTGCTGGGATTACAGGCATGAGTCGCTGTACCCAGCCTTTTCGTATCTTTAATAGAGACGGGGTTTCACCATGTTGGCCAGGCAGGTCCTGAACCCCTGGCCTCAGAGGATCCGCCTGCCTTGGCCCCCAAAAGTGCTGAGATTACCAGTGTGAGCCACCATGCCAAGCCACAAACAATATTAAGCAAAAAATTTAGACATGGCTGGAGACCCAACAAAAGACATGAGCAAAAAAAGACGTATTGCAATTATGGGTAGAAAATTCCATGGAGATGTAAATTCTCCCTAAATCAAGCTATAATGTAATGCAATTCCATAAAAACATCAACCAGATTTCTCACCAATTTAGTCTACAGTACATTTGAAGATAGAAATAAATCAGCATAAGAAAATTGTGATAAAAGAATAACAAGGAGAAACCCAAACCAGATGTTAGGGATAAGGTGATGAAAACACGTGGTTGTGGCATATAAGAAACACGCCAGTAGGAGAGAATTTCGAGCCTGTACACATCTCGTCTGAATGCCCATGAGCATCAGGCTTGTGAGAAGACACCGGGGCTGACACGCGGTGCTGGGAGACTGGAGGGCACCTGGGAAATGTAGTTTGAATCTTAACTCCTGACTCAAATGAACTCCTGATGAAACCATAAAAATGCTAGGAAGACCATTATTTTAATTTTAGAAGATGAACCCAAGAAAGTGAGAAGTCAAAAGTGACACTGAACATGAAAATACCTTGGCAACCTGGAGAAGTCATGAAAGTGAGAAGACAGATGACCTTTCCAAGATGAACCCAAAGCATCTGAGACAGGTCTCAATCAATTTAGAAAGTGTATTTTGCCAAGATTAAGCACGCACCTGAGACACAGCCTCAGGAGGTCCTGACAACATGTGCCCAAGGTGGTCGGGGTGCCATATGTTTTATCCCTTTTAGAAGATGGCAGACGTCAATCAATTTCTGTAAGAGTTACATTGGTTCCATCTAGAAGTGTGGGACAACTCGAGGTTGGGGGGCTTCCAGGTTATTGGTAGATTTAAACATATTCTGATTGGCGATTGGTTGAATGAGTTATTATTTATAGAAAGGAATGTCTGGCTTACGATAAGAGGTTGTGGAGGCCAAAGTTTTCTCCTGCAGATGAAGACTCCGGATAGCAGGCTTCAGAGAGAATAGGTTGTAAATGTTTCCTATCAGACTCAAGGTCTGTGTTGACCTCACTCTGTCGCCCAGGCTGGAGTGCAGTGGCACGATCTCAGCTCACTGCAACCTCCACCTCCTGGGTTCAAGCAATTCTCCTGCCTCGGCCTCCAGAGTAGCTGGGATTACAGGTCATCTATGAACACAACAGCTAATTTTTTAATATTCAGTACAGATGGGGGTTTCACCACATTGGCCAGGCTGACCTCAGGTGATCTGCCCGCCTTGGCCTCCCAAAATGCTGGGGTGACAGGTGACAACCACTGTGCCTGGGTGAAAATGGCCTGTTTGCGACACAGACAGCACGGAAGTTCCTTAGTTCTATATGAGCGATACTTACTCCTGGCAGGGGCTGGTTTTGCGGTACTGTCTCTTGCGGGTTTTGATGGAGATGTTTTCCCAGCATTATAAATGAGTGTAGAGGCTTTGCCTACTCCCCACGCCTGGGACTGTTCATGTTGTCTGGTTTCCTCTGTTCCCAAAAGGAGCAGGAGACCCCTTGCCTGGCCGCTCTGGATGTTGGTGGCCGGGCTGGGACACAGACCTCTGGCCGTGCCTTTCTGTCTGCCTGCCTGCCTGCCTTGGGAAGGGGCCTGACCGAGTTACTTCATCTCTAGCCTTCTCTGATCTGTTTGGACACTTACATTTGTCCTGAAATCATCCATTTTGGTTTTTAAAAAATATATTGTGGGTCAGACACCAAACCCCTTAAGATTCTTTTCATCAGTTTCCTCTCAATGTGGGGTCATTGACAGTTGCTGGCATTTTTTTCTCCAGGTGTTTCTGACAGGTGAGCTAAATCCCACCATGCCCACCCCCTCCCCACCGTGGGGCACAGGTGCAGGAACTTGATAAGTTTCTCTGATTTTGTCATTTTGCTTTGATTTTTTAAATTCTGTTTTCTTACTTTCCTTATTTTAATGATTTTTTTCTAACAGGAGCTGGAAACAGATGATTGACTTGAACCCCTTCTTGCTAACCTATTTCAGTATTAAGACTACGAGTTTCCTCTGGGCGCATCGATTCCGATAGTCATTTCACAGATCTTTCATCCTGTAGATAAGAAACTTGAGGTATTTTCTCCAGCAGACGCTGCCCCTGGGATTGCAGCAGCTCTGGCTCTGCCAGACGGTGGGCTGGGCCCGCCCCACGGCCCCGGTCCTTGAATCCCACACCCAGCAGTGATTGCGGTCCAGGCAGAGCATGTTGTATGGGTTTATTAATCATCTCTGCCAGACACAGTCCCCAGGGAGCAGCCTCCCCACGCCCGAGGTGCAGGTGCGCAGCAGGAAGGGACCGGAACACGGTGGCCACGTCGTCATCTTCTGCACCGTGGACATTCTTTGAAAGGGCAGGAGGAGGTCGTACAATGCTGGAGGTGTGGCTGGGCAGGGGTCTGGTCTTCCTGGAGGCAGAGGCGAGCTGTTGAGTCTCACGGGTCACTTAAGTAGAGGAAGGAGGGGCAGGGTGCTGCGGGGAGTCCTGGAAGGACGTGGGTGGGCTCAAGGACACCCCCTTAAAAATGTGGCCCTGAAATCCCAGCACTTTGGGAGGCTGAAGCAGGCAGATCACGAAGTCAAGAGATTGAGACCATCCTGGCCAGCATGGTAAAACCCTGTATCTACTAAAAATACAAAAATTAGATGGTCATGGTGGCAGGTGCCTGTAGTCTCAGCTACTTGAGAGGCTAGGGCAGGAGCCTTGAACCCAGGAGGCGGAGGTTGCAGTGAGCCAAGATCGCACCATTCCACTCCAGCTTGGCGACAGAGTGAGACTCTGTCTCAAAAAAAAAAAAAAAAGTGGCACCAAGACCTGCCTGTTCCCAGCTTCTCATGCCCTCCCATGTGACCATCCTCCCTCCTCCTCCTCCAGCCCCACCACTTCCAATCAACACCCCAACCCCCCAAAAAGCATGAGGTTTGACTGCAGGGCACAAGCTGGTGACTTGTACGACGCCTGCAAGACACAGGCTGGGCTCATGGACAGGGACGTCAGCAATGTGGCTTTCTGGAATCACAAGACTAGACCCCAGCTCATTCCTTCAGGCTCAGCCCTGAACTGGACACAGTGGGGTCATTCCCAGGGGCCCAGAGAGGCAGCCCCAGGCTGTGGGTGAGGCAGATACATTACCCAGCAGGCAGGACCAGGCAGGAGCTCTCCTAGACAGGGCAGGGCTCTGTGGGAGGAGAGGGGGCAGTGGGGGCATCAGAGAGAGAAGAGACAGCTGGGGACACAGCAGCCCCAGGGCCAGAGCTGGGGTGGGAGGATGATGGGAGGGGGCGGGACCCCACCCCAGGGTGGCTCTGCACCCCAGGAGGCAGGGGGAGAACTGGGGAGGGGCCAAGGAGTGACCTGAGTCCTCCAGATCCTGCGGGGGGCTCCAGCTGAGAAAAAGGGGGCTTCTCCTTTAGCCCAGGCTGGGCCTGTCCTGGGCAGAGCTCACCTTCCACCTGATACCATTCCAGGAGGAACCATAACTGCACAGGCAGGGTCTTGAAAGCGCGGAAGAATTCCTTCAGGACCTCATCATCTGCTTCCAGGGATCTGGCTGTGGGGGAGGCTGGCTCAGTCTTGGGCCCCTGGGGTTTGGATGAGAGCTGGGGAGCTCCAGAGGCCGTGCTAAGGAGGGAGGGCAGGGAAGGAGGCCCCAGTGCTCCCAGGTCAGGCAGAGTTTGGTCTGGTGCAGGTCCCCAGGGTGGTCTCCGGGGCTCTGTCCACCTGGCCTCCAGGTTCCCCGTCCCCAGCTCCCACTCCTCAGTCAGGCCCCCTCTGCTCCGCTCTGGGCAGCGCTGGGGTCCACACAGCTCAGGATGGTGTCTACAGGGTCATGGGAGCACAGTGCCCGCCTTCCCAGTGTCCGGCTCTCACCAAGCACGGCTGAGGCTGATCAAGAAGACACCTGTGTGACCCCAGAGGGAACCCTGTGCTCAGAAACACTGGGAAGGGCTGCGCCCGTGTGTCTAATTCAGCATTTCCAGCCTTAGTTTGGATAAGAACATCATAGGTTTAAAGGTCGTCCAGTGAGTATTAATCTTTCCACCAAGGCCAGCCCCTTGACTGGCGACCGTCCCACTGGCCCCATATCAGCTCCCCGCTGCCCAGTTTCTGATGCAGTGTCAGAGGACTAGATACCACCGGAGAAAAACAGCCTTGACTGGCACCACGGCTCATACTTATAACATCACACCTTGGGAGGCTGAGGCAGGTGGACCACTTGAGGTCAAGAGTTGGAAAACAGCCTGACTAACATGGTGAAACCCTTTCTCTACCAAAAAAATACAAAATTTAGTCAGGCATTGCAATGTTCATCTGTAATCCCAGCTACTGGGAGTCTGAGGCACAAGAATCGCTTGAACCTGGGAGGCGGAGGTTGCAGTGAGCTGAGATAGCGCCACGGCACTCCAGCCTGGGCAACAAAATGAGAACCTGTCTCAGAAAAACAAAACAAATAAATAAACAAAAAAACCAAGAAAGAAAAACTCAGCCCCCAGGCACCGAGGTGGACAGGAAGCCAGCTGTCATCTCCCCAGGGTTCCCAGCCATGGACATAGCTGCGACCTCTCACCCATGCTGAGCTCATGCGCTGTGAGACCCACCCAGGTACTGGCACATGGTGCTCTGCTTGGGGGCAGCGGTGTCCTTCAGGCAGAGAAACAGGAATTTGTCATAATCAGTATCGAGCAGCGTAGCCTCATTCACGGCCATATCTGGGAAAGAAGAGAAGAACCAAAAGAAAGATGAAGCCTCTGTCCCAGCAGAGTCTTGTGCAGACGTGAGGAAGTCCCACCAAATAAGTGGCTTCCTTGTCTACCACCACTGTGGGCCATGGGCCCTGCTGTGAACTGTGGCCCCTGCTGTGGGCCATGGCCAGGGAAGCCAGAGAGAAAAGGAGAGAAGAAGCAACGTGGAGGGACATGGAACCCTGGCTGAAGGGGAGAGGCCAGGCGTGCAATGCGGAGGCAGACATGGCAGGCAGGGGCGCTCTGACCTGGACAGATTCCAATTAAGTCACTGATGGATGAGGACGCTGGGAGACCACACAGGAACAGGGCAGGGGGTAAGAAGAGGGAGAAGAAACGGACCTTGGACAGTGCCTTGATTGAGGGGAGGGCAAGCAGGGTCAGAAAGGCCTCCGGCAAGTCCCGAGCATGAGAAGCAAACTGTACTTGCTGAAAAATGTGCGCAAGACATTCCCTCTGCGCCCCTCCTTTAAATCTTTGAGGCCCATCGCCCAGGAGGGGATAAGAGACCCCAGACTCTGACCATCTCTGTCTTTTTAAAAAATAAGAATTAACAAAATAGAACAAAATGTTGCAAATTGTTATGCAAAACTCAGTGGAGCAAGGACATATGGTAGGTCCCTCTCTTTTCCTGCAAAGAGGCCTGGGAGCTTGGCCCGAGGCCAGAGTTGCAGCCCCAGAGTGAGCAGAGGCAGCCCGGCCCATGGGAACAGCAGCCCACCTGCCCACCTGTTCCCCTGCCCAACTGTTCACCTACCCACCTGCCTACCTGTTCAGCTATGCACTTGCCCACCTACCCACCTGTTCACCAGGCCACCTGCTTAACTTACTACCTGTCCACCTGCCCATCTGTTCACCTACCCACCTGCCCACCTGTTCACCTACTTACCCATCCACCTGCCAACCTACCCACCTGTTCACCTGTCCACCTACCCACATGTTTACCTGGGCACCTGCCCATGTACCGAACTGTTCACCTACTCACCTACCCACCTGCCTATCTACTCACCAGCTCACCTACCCATCTGTCCTTCCCACCTGTTCACCTACTCACCTGCTCACCTACACACCTGCCCACCTGCTCACCTACTCACCTGTCCACCTGTTCACCTACCTACTACCTACGTGCCCACCTGCACACCTGCTCACCTACTCACCTGCCTATTTGTTCACCTGCCCACTTGTTGACCTGCCTACCTGTTCACCTGCCCACCTATCCACCTACTCACCTGTTTACCTGCCCACCTGTTCACCTACCCACCTACCCGCCTGTTGACCTGCCTACTTGTTCACCTGCCCACCTGTTGCCCTGCCCACCTGTTCACCTGCCCACCTGTTTACCTGCCCACCTGCCCACTTATTCACCTACTCACATGTTTACCTGCCCACCTGTTCACCTACCCACCTGGCCACCTGTTCACCTGCTCACCTGCCACCTGTTCACCTGCTCACCTACCCACCTGTTCACCTGCCTACTTGTTCACCTGCCCACCTGTTCACTGCCCACCTATTCACCTGCCCACCTGTTCGCCTGCCCACCTGTTCACCTGCCCACCTGTTTGCCTGCCCACATGTTCACCTACCCACCTGTTCACCTACCCACCTGTTTGCCTGCCCACATGTTCGCCTGCCCACCTGTTCATCTACCCACCTGTCCACCTGCCCACCTGTTCACCTACCCATCTGCTCACCTGCCCACCTGTTCACCTGACCAACTCAACCTACCACCTGTTCACCTAACCAACTCACCTTCCCACCTGTTCACTTACCCACCTGCTCACCTGCCCAGCTGTTCACCTACCAACCTGCTCACCTGCCCACCTGTTCACCCACCCATCTGCCTACCTGCCTGCCTACCCACCTGCTCACCTGCCCAGCTATCCATTTGCCCAACTTCTCACCTGCAGCCTCCCTGGCCTGTTGTGAGGCCAGAGTGAACAGTGCACAGACAGCACCTGTCCCCTGTGCCTGGGCACAGTGCAGACCCACGTCCAGTCACTGTCATGCCAAGAATCAGTGCTTCCCCCCTTCCCCTCCAGGCAAAACATGCCTCTGGGCTCAGCATCAGGTTGAGTGGAGCAAACACTGACTCCCTGAAGCAGAGAGCTCAGACAAGACAGGCCCCATCCCCCATCCCTCAGCAGAGCTGCCTCTGGGAGACTGTGGCTAGCAGGCTAGCACTGAGCCAGCCCCTGGGGTCCAGGGACCTGCTCAGTTGACCTGCACAGTTGATCCTGAAATTCTTTGGATTTTCAGTCTTCTCTGCAAGGACCTTCTTCTCAACACAGCTGTTGTTCTCCCTGAAAGGCGGTGACAGTAGAATGTGGTGACCACTTGAACTGGAGTTGCCCTCAGTGTCACCCCTCAAATCAGGTCACTGCAGGAACTTCTCTGGGTCCCAGGAGCACCACAGCCCTCAGCTGCCCAGACCTTCTCCTCAGTCTGACCTGAGGCTGCTCTGTGGGGTCAGCTGTTGACTCAGAGCCTGAGGCAGGGGCTCTGAGAGGACAGGGACCATCTGCCGCCCCAGTTTTCCAGACCACCCTCATGGAGGGGCCACAGTGAAGCTCTTGGCTGTCAGAAAATGCCCAGGGCTGAGCCCGGCTCTGCCCACCCCACCCAGTCCTGGACCCCTACAGAGAGATATTGAGTCCCCCGCCTGCCCCAGTCCTAATGACGAGGAACCCACCATCTGTGCAGAATGATCTCCAGGTTGCCCTCAGGGGTGGGCATCAGGGAAGTGATGTTGATCCTCAGAGGGGCATCCCTGGGTCCCAGGAGGGAGAGGTTGCTGCTCACCATGGCCATGAAGTGCCAGGTTCCTGCCAACTGAGGGGGCCTTCAGCTGCATGGGGGTCCCCGCCTCACTGTGGCTCTCGTTGCACACCATGCAGTCAGGGCTGAGTCTAACTGGGATGGGTGCAGTGAGCACTGGATGGCCGTCTACTGTCTATCAGTCGCTGGGCTATGGAATTTCCTGTACTTAAAACCACCAGTGTGTGCTAAATCATGAGAGTTCCAAAGTGCAAATTTTGAGGGAGTCACCTGGGATGCTGGGCAACAGAAAGACCACCCTAAAGATGGAGAGCGGTGCTGAGGGGTTCCTGACATCATGGCGTCCACTCTGCACTTCCTATAGGTTTCTGAGATCCTGGGCTTCCCGCCTGCCTTCAGCTCCCACCTGCCCCCAGGCCTCCCACAGTAACATGCCCCCTTCACCCGCCTCAAACCTTTGAGACCTCCAGGTCCTGCTCGGTCTGGGGGATGTCACTGGCCTGGATGCTACAGACCAGGACCATGCCCAGGGTGAGCAGGAGGCACTGCCATGGCTGCGGCTGTGGGTGGCTCTGAGCTCTGGAGTGAGAGGAGGCTGAGGCAGTGTGGGCTTGGGGTCCTTATGTAGGAGGAGGGCAGACGAGAGCCCTGCCCACAGCCTCACCATGCCATTCCTCAAACCCATGACTCATCCTCACCCACGGACAGCTTCCTGCACTGGGACAATGGGAGGCTCTTCACTGTGTCCATGAAGGAACCTCCTCTGTGTCCAGCCAGGCAGTTCCTGGCAGGGCCTCAGGTGGAGGGACCTGGATCAGGTCTAGGCTGGCAGGCAGTGGTGGGAGCACCTCCTGGGTCGGGGCTCCTGGACAATGTCGGGTCAGAGGCCAGCAGTGAGGACAGCTGTGCCCAGGGCAGGGGTATGGCCTGTGGGGCAGGCAGAGGGCCCGAGAGCCCCATGGCAGTCCTGGGATGCCACAGATGTCGTGCCCGTGGGTGGCTGTCTGCATGGTCTGAATCCTGATCTGTACCTTCCGCTCAGCCTTGCCCAGGTGTGCACAGCTGTGCCCCTCACACGCCAGCCTCTGGACAGGGGCTCACTGCCTGCTAGTGCTGTTCCTCTCTGACTCACAGGCAAGATGGGCTGGAAGTGGAGGACGCTATCAGGCATCGGTGAACTTCCAGACTGTATTGTAAGCCCTTTTTCCCACAGGGAAGTGACATGGTGAAACTCCATCTCTACCAGAAATACAAAATTAGCCAGGCATAGTGGCACATGCCTGTAATCCCGGCTCCTCAGAAGGCTGAGGCAGGAGAAGAATCACTTGAACCCAGGAGGCGGAGGTTGCAGTGAGCCAGGATCGTGCCACTGCACTCCAACCTGGGCAATGAGAGTGAAACTCTGTCTAAAAAAAAAAAGGATGAAGAGACAGGATACAAACTGGGAGAAAAACATTTTAAAGTCTCATATCCGACAAAGCAACAAAGAACTAGTGTCTGGAGGATACAAAGAACGTCAGAAATTCATGAGCAAAAATAAAACCCACTTAGAAAATGGGCAAAAACCATGAAAAAACATCTCCCCAGGAGGATCTATGGGTGGCAAATATTCACCTAAAAAGATGCTCAAATTCGCTGACCATCAAGGACGTACCAGTTAAGCCACAGCGAGATATCACAGCCCAGCTGTTAGGGCAGCTAAAATGAGAAGTAGGGACCAGAGCACACAGTAAGGGTGCACAGAAAGCAGGTTTCTCCTAACACTGAGAAATACATACTTTGAGTAGCTCTAAAATGGGCCGGCAAAATGTTTAAAAAGAGGATCAAGCTATGTCAAAAAATTGTAAGACAGTGTGTGTGAAAGAGAAAGAGAAAGAGAAAGTGAAACTAAGGAAAGAAATTGTCTAATGAGGAAAGAGAGAGAAGCTTCATCTGTTAAAACTCAGGCAGAACAACTAAGCCAAGATATGTCAAAAAAAAAAAAGTTTTTAAAAGGAAAATTATAAAGTAGAGGAGCAAATTGTGGGAAGTAGAAAAGTTCCTTTTTAAACTTTCCTTTCTTATTAAAGAATAACTTTGTTAAGCCCTATCCTGTGTAGCTGTCAGACATGCCATGTTTACAGGCACGTGGTACACTCCATGTCCTTGTACGAGGACTACGTGTCTGATTCATGCACCATTCTTCCTCCTTGTCATATCTATTAGAAGTGGGTCACTAGGTGCAGCCAACACTCAGTTGGAGGCTTCATACAAGGGAAGTCATCCTGGAGGTCAGCTGCCAACTCAACAAAGCAACAAAGTGAAATCCACAAAGTAAATATGACATCCAGTTAACAATTACCAAGTAGGCAGTGAAGCAAGGAAATATGAGCCATAACCAGGAGAAAAAATCGAGTGATAGAATCAGACCCAGAAATGACAGCGATGATGGACTTGGCAGATCAGGGATGTTAAAGACCCAGTATAAATATGTCTACACACTCAAGAGGGTCCAGAAAGCAAGAGCAGGATGAGAAGCAAGGTGCCGGCATGGAAAAGACCCAGGACGTAAAACGGTGCTTCCCCTGTGGAAAACGGTGGGCGGTTTCTCAGAAAGTTAAACACATGTTATCCTATGACCCAGAAACTTTGCTTGAATTGAGGACAGGAATTCAGACAAATATTTGCATGTGCATATTTGTGGCTGGACTGTTCAGAAGAAACAAAAGATGTAAACACCTCAAGTGTCCATCAAACAATGGTGGATTAAGGCATGGGTCACGTGGGCATGGGCGCTCAGGCCTGTAATCCCAGCACTTTGTGAGGCTGAGGCAGGCGGATCACTGGAGGTTGGGGTTCGAGACCAGCCTGGCCAACATGGTGAAAGCCCATCTCTACTAAAAATACAAAATTAGCCTTGCATGGTGGCGGGCACCAGGAATCCCAGCTACTAGGGAGGCTGAGGCAAGAGAACTGCTTGAGCTGGGAGGGGGAGGTTGCAGTGAGCTGAGACTGTGCCACCGCACTCCAGCCTGGGTGACAGGCTAAGACCCCATCTCAAAAAAAAAATAGGGTCTATTCATGCAGTAAAATATTATTCAGCTATAAAACAAACAGGGCATTGATACAGGTTACAACATGGAAGAGCCTTGAAAACAGTGAAGTGAAAGGAGCCTGTCACAAAAAGTCACATGGTGTGTGATTCCATTGATAGGAAATGCCCAGAACAGGTAAATCCTTAGAGACAGAATGTGGGAGGTGACTGCTGCTGGGGACGGGGCTTCCTTTAGGGGTGACGGGAAAGTTTTGGAACTATGCAGAGGTCATGGATGCGCACCGGGCTGTGTGGACTCATTGCTACAGATTGTGCCCTTCAGATGGTTATTTTACACTCTGTGAATTTCGCTTCAGTGAAGTTTGAAAGGGGAATAAATAGCCAGATGGAAATCCTGGAGATGGAAAGCATGGAACTTGATATGATGAGGGCACCAGTGGGCTCACAGCAGAGGGACCAAGGGAAGCAGGGCGGGCACGGGGCCCAACAGCAGAGCCACCCACAAGGGAGCAGTGAGGAAAGGGCTGAAAGGGACGGGACCTGGGACCCATGGGGTACTCTCAAGGGGTCTGACCTACACAGAGCCCCAGCAGGGAAGAGAAACGGCGAGGGCAGACATGTATTAAGGAAATCATTACCCAAACCATCCACATTTGATGAAAACTATAAGCACACAGACCCAAGAAACTCATGAGCACCAAGCAGAAGAACCTATGGCAGCCCCTGCCGAGGCTCACAGCGCTTACACCGCAGAGAACCAGAAGTGAGAAGGGCCTCAGATGCAGCCTGCACTCGCCTGCACTCGGGATGGAGAGGACCCTGCCTGCGATGGGGGGACCTGTTCTGTCTGCGCCAGTCATCGCACCACTGGTGGGAAGGAGCAGACCTGCTGCCCTGACAGGTCCCCTTCAGTACTGAGCTCAGGCCCCGCCTCCCCCAGCTGGGTGTCTTTCGACCAGCTCCTAGAGTGTCTCAAACACACTTGCTCCCTGCAGCCTAGAGATGAGGAAGCAGAGGAAGCAGGCTCCTGGCAGAGCAGAGACAGCTCCTCCCCTGGGTTGGGGGTAAACCTGTATCCCCAGTGGGCTGCCTGCTGCCCTGCCTCACCTGCCTGGGTGTTGGCCCAGGGCTCCAACCCCCAACCCTGGCTGAAGGCACCTGGCTTCACAATGGCCCCTGGGCTGCCAAAGAGGAGGAGATCCCATCATTACTGCTGGAACCAAAGGTCCAAAGGTTATTTACACCCACCTTCCCCAACAAGATCCACAGGATACTACCGGTGCATGCTATGGGAACAGCTCACAGAGCAACCGAGCCAGCTCCCTCCTTTCCGCCTGCCCCTCTGGACTATGAGAGAGGACCCTCCAGGGGTTTGAGACTGGCCCTGTTCCCATAGCAGTGACGCCCTGGCAGCAACACGGGCCAGACAAAAGGGGCTTGGGGAGCTACCGTGCTGTGCAGCCCCAACTTGGCTTTCTGTCCAGAAAGGTCACTCAAGCCTGTCTCCTGGTTCACTCCATAAAACCACATCTCGCCTGGCCCAGCCCCTGCCACCCTTGCCCACACCCCCTGCCTTCCCCTGCCGGCCCTGTGTCTCCAGAAGCCACAGCCAGGGTCCCTTACCCCACGTGTGCCTGCCCTTCCTCATCCCCCACCTGTGCCCGGGGCGCTGGGCTGCTCTGCTCTCAGGGAAGCGCAGGCTTCTCCACAAGCAGTGGCCATCTGTGACCCCCAGGGCTTCCTGAGGGATGTGGCTGTCCCCCACCCCGGGCCACGCACCGACAGCTGGAAAAGGCTGGGCACAAAGGTGTCTTCCAGCCCCTGGCACTAAGGGACTTGTCCACACCCTGGCATAGCTCCTATTGGCATAAGAACAGCCTGTGGGCTCAATCCAGCCCCCTCGGGCTCATACCCACCGCTCACACTCTTACCCCACAGCTCAAACTGTCACCCCCCAACAGACCGTCACCCCCACCGCTCATGCCCTCACCCCACAGCTCACATCCTCACCCCACAACAGACCCTCACCCCGCCGTTCATTGCCGTTGCCCCGCCACTCATGACCTCATCCCACAGCTCACACCCTCAGCCAACAGACCCTCATCCCACCACTCAGCCCTCAACAGACCCTCACTCCACCGCTCCGTCCTCACCCCACAACTCACACCCTCACCCCGCCACTCACACCCTTGCCCCGCCGCTCATGTCCTCACCCCACAGCTCACACCCTCACCCAACCGCTCACGCCCTCACCCCACAGCTCACACCCTCACCCCTCAACAGACCCTCACCCCGCCTCTCACGCCCTCGCCCCACAGCTCACACCTTCACCCTACCGCTCACACCCTCACCCCCCAACTCACACCCCTCGCCCCACCGGTCACGCCCTCACCCCACAACTCACACCCTCACCCCGCCACTCACACCCTTGCCCTGCCGCTCATGTCCTCACCCCACAGCTCACGCCCTCACCACCCACCACTCACGCCCTCTCCCCCAACAGACTGTCACCCCGCCGCTCACGCCCTCACCCCACCGCTCACGCCCCCACCC